CTATAAATTAAACCATATATAATCTTACTAAACATAAGTTCATAATTTATATGAATTTATATTTACAGTAAAACCCTCATAAAATAACTATGTTGCGACCCAGAAAATTACTATTTTAGGGAGGTTATTAATTTATTGATCAATGAATAATTTATTAATTTATGGAAAAAAAAAGAATAATTTTTGTATATAAAGAATTTTATATTTTTGTATTGTATTTTACCATAATATATGATTTATTTAAAAAAAAAAACACATCGGATGTGGTGAAATTCAAAAATTAAGGCTTAAGAAATGATGAACCATCTTTCTTATCTCCTAACACAACATCAAAGATTCAACCGTGCGATGGTGGAATTATGAAAGCGCTAAAAATTCATTCTCGGCGTTCTTTTTATTCTGACATCTTGGAAGGTTACAAGCTAGAAGCAATAAATCCTGAAATAATAAACATATTGAATGCTGTCAATTTTATGTGAAGACAACAATTATTGCAAATTATTTTCGATATTGCAAAACTCGATCAGACGAAGATATTACTGTTGAACTAAAAGTTAGTGAAGATAAAGAGATAAACGGATTGTGTGAAACTATTTCTAGTCTATGCTATAGAAATATGTTGGATGTTAAGCACATTTTATACTATCCTATTGAAAATGACGCAACGATAAAATCTCCTACTAATGAGGATATTATTCAAGGGAACTCAATACATCTATCAATGATGATAATGATTCAAATGATGATTGTGTTTTACCATCTGTTATCTTCAAAAGAGGCATTTAAAGCATTTGTAAAATTAAATAATTACTTTATACAAAACAAAAAAAAAAATGCCATATATATGTGTGTGTGTAAATTATGTGCATTGCAAAAAAATAAATAATTAAATAATAAGGTATGAGGTTAAGTTTAGTTTGAGTACAAAGAAAAAGCAAAAGAATTTAGATACATATTTTGAAAAAGAGACAAATTGAAAAAAATATTGTCAAATTAAAGTTTGTTAATTTGTATTAGTATGAACTTTTATGAAACTAAGTAATTATTATTTTATATATTCATTGGGCCTAAAGGATCTAAACAAAGTATTAATTTATGCATTTAGCAGGAATATCAATTGTGAGAATTACACCTATCCATGTTTTTTTAAGTTCCAACGTCAAAAATAAATTTTAAAATTTGTTTATACAAAAATCAAGTGATAATTCCACAATCTAATAATAATAATAATAATTTTATGAATTAATTTATATGTCTACCATATCCTATCCACCCATCCAAACTTTCATCTATCTTCTCTCTTTTGTCTCCGGCCACTAATCACCACCACCATGCTGCATTGTTCTCCTTCTCTCTCTGATGACACCGCCTTCTTCTCTTTTTGGTGATAGTCAAAACCTCTGCTGCCTGGAGTGCCACTGTACGGCCGCCACAGTAGTGAGCGCCATTGCAACAACAATTTGAGATATAAATAAAATGAGGGGAACATGGCTCTTAAAACAAGCTAATATTGAGTGCGAGCGATTTCTTGACAAGCCAATAATAGCCTTAGGAGTCTTTTATTCTGTTGGTTTTAATTGCAGCTTTAGTTGGTTTTTGTTGTAGGGTTTCATATGTGTCTATTTAGTTGCACAATCTTTGCATTTTGTGGTGACAAATAAGAGGATCGGTGAGGCACTGGGGTATAAGGAGTATAGATTGGGAATTATGCAGATTGGCTACAGAAAATAACAATAATTGGAAAAACTTAGGAGTTGTTTGTAGGATAGTATAAAGAGGGTTTCTTCCCGATTGTTGACGTCAAAATTTGTAAAGAGTAATTTTGAGTCAACTTTAAGAAAAGGGGGCGAACTTTCCTCTTATTATATATTTAAAAAAAAAACCACGAATTATATTGGGAAGATGTAATTGAGTAATGATTTTGTAAAAAAAATCACTTGTCCTTAAGAAGACTATTTCTCTACTATTTATACATGGCTCCAGCCGAAATTACATCAAATCAGCTACAGTACCGAGCTCGAAAGTCGAGTCGCCAAATCCTCCTGTGATTGGTGGCGAGGTCGGTGGACAAATGCCAATTTTTCCTCAAGGAATGATGACCTGCAAGGGATTAGAGATTCCGGACCTTGGTTTGGTGGCTTTGGGCGGTGATAACATCACTTTTAAAAAGTGTGTGAGATTGAGAGGGTGATGTGATAAAGGGCAATCATGATATCTTTTTCGGGTTACTGTGGGCAATCTGAGCTGAGGGTTATAGCCAAACTCACATCTGCCTGAGGTAGGACCCGTGAACAACTTTCATGAGATCGGAGTTCGGTGGTCAACACCGATTATTTTGGTGATTTGTGACCAAAAAATTGGATTAATTTGTGAAAAAATTATATATAACCTTAAAAAATGTGACTACATTTATAATCGTGACTTACAATCTGTTCACAGGTCACATGATATTGTACATAGATCACATATCAATATTCATATGTCAAAGATCAAAATAAAACTGGTTACAAATCACCATTTATGTTGATAGGTCACATGTTATAATTTACAAATCATACATCATATTGTATAACTCACAAATCAATGCCAACATGCCACAGATCAAAATTAACTGGTCATAGATCAAATGTCACGTGTTTTGTGCACTGACAACAGGTCACAATTCATATGTTACATGTTATAGGTAATATGTCATGTGGCATAGGTAACTCATCAATGTCATACATGTCACAATTCCAAGAAAACATGTCACATTCTATTGGGTTAATATCATAGGTGATAGTTCACTGGTCATAGGTCACATGTCACGTATCCAAAAGAACTGGTCACATGCTATTGAATTAATATCACTGGTAACATTTTACAAGTCACATGTCATGGTGCATAGGTCATAGATCTATATTAATAGATCTCATATTTCAGAGATTTAGTCACAAGCTATTGGATCAACGTCATAACATTTTTTCTCAATTGACAATCAATGAATCTTTTCAAAATTACAATTTACAGGCCAACGGATCCTCTCAATTTTTGTCATAACCCACGATTGTTGTTTCAACATTGTTTCATCAATTCAAATATTGGAAGATACAACATTAGTACAATGTTATCTGCACCCAATTGTGACTTCGAAACCTTTCAAATCTATTTTGGGATGGTCAACATTATCAATTTACTTTTACTGTTATAACCTCAAATTTATGACTATTGCATTAAAAAACTCTGATCTACTGTGACATAACTTCAATTTGTGACCTCAATAGTCCATGATTTTCAATCAACCAGATTCCGATCATAGTAATTGAGAATTCTTGCTTTGGATATATCTTTGTAACTCCTCTCTCTCTCTCTCCCTCTCTCCCTCTCTTATTATTATTATTATTATTATTATTATTATTATTATTATTATTATTATTATTATTATTATTGTTGCGTGTTGTCACACCTGTCTTACCCACCTGAGCCAATGGTCCACTCATCCTGATCCACGTAGCGTTCCTGCCGAGGTGGCGCACATTGCCGAGGTGGGTTATATCCGAAGTGCTTCAAGCCGAGATCCATTCGTCGAGGCTCCTCGATTTGATGTATGCGAGTCTGCCGAAGCCTAACTACCAAGGCCCATCCTCAGGTGGAAGTATTTGTCAAATGGTCGAAACCCCGAAGCTGACGCACGAGCCTCTTAACCACAAGAAGCTTCCTCCACAGTCACTTCTCCCAGGAGATCGCCTGCTCAGAGATCTTATTCGAATGACTGATAGAACGTTTGTCACAAGCATAAAGGTCAAGTCTTGTCACTAGTATGAAGGACCTACGTAAGCAATAATTGCGCCGTAAGCTAGCAAGTCAAGCCCTATACCTAAGAAAAGACGTTTGAACTAAAGAGATGAGGCCACGTGCAACTTCATCCAAGGGCTCCCATTTCATATGTATCACTATAAATACTTCAATTGTGTGATGTCAAAGGCTAATGCAAGAATCAATACTAAAGACTACATTTACCCAACTCTCTCTCATTTACTTGCAATACACAAATCGAGTTTATACACTTTTACATATACATTTACGAGCATCGGTTGGTAATTATTGTACAATCGGATTACAAACAACCCGCCGGATTCCGAACGTCACCGTCCCGCGTCGTTGGGCTACTCCCACGCCCCTTTGAACCGCTCGTTTTAGACCGTCCACTTATCTTAGCGTGTTGGATATTCGCCCACGCAAGCGCCGGTGGGACCGGCATCTGTTGACACACTTTTTGGGGTCAACAATTATTTTTATAAGTAGTTACAAGTTGTTATTCTAGAGAATTGTGCTTGGAATGGTAAGTTGGTAACGAATGCTTTCTTTTAGTATGTATATTTAATAAAATCTAAAAATATATAATTGTGTATAGTAAAGACTTGTTATACGTATTGTTCCCTTCTTAATTTAGTAAGTGTCTGGCTTCCATTTTTTAAAAAATTCATTTTTTCAAAACTCATTTTTAATCACATATTCTTCTATTACATAATTTTACATGTAAATTCAAAATGTTTCTTTATTTTTTAACCATAAAATGCATTTTTGCCAAAAATAGGGCTGCTTAGTATAGTAGCCCAATTAGTATCGAAAATTTTTATTTTTTAAGTGAGATTATTAATTTATCGAACATTATCATTTAAAACAAAAAAGGTGAAAAATAAAGAAGAAAATTTACACATCAATTGACGGCTTTTGTAATTTGTTATATTTACAACATTTTATCTTCTTGGACCTTCACTGTCTGAGGAAGATACTTTTTGGTTCATTTGATGTCTTTGCACTCTTCTCTCAGAATGCTAGATTGTGTTTTTGTAACTAGCATTGCATTTTAGAATATATTCCTGAATGGTTGTTTTATGTTGCCAATAAATTCAAAATGTGTTTTCAGGTGCATCTCATTTCAATTTTATATGAATGTGCATATGTTGTAATTATGAATACTGATTATCTGTGTAACTTCTTTTCTTCAATGCATGTTGTAGTCTTAAAGAAGGAACTCTTAATTGGGAAATGGTGCAATTCAAGTCACAATTTCCGCGTGAAGTTTTATTATGCAGAGTATGTTATGTGGCTCCTCTCCTTTTCCTTTTTTTCTTTTTTTCTGTCTATTTTACTTGTAGACTTTTGAAATATAAATGTCATATGTATATATTTTCAAATACAACCACAGCTTGATTAAAAAATACCAGCCAGATCTCCTTCATCTTGCCACCTCATTTTTTCCAGGTTGGGGATTTCTATGAGGCAATTGGCATTGATGCCTGCATTCTTGTGGAATATGCTGGACTAAATCCTTTTGGTGGTCTGCGTTCAGACAGCATTCCAAAAGCTGGTTGTCCTGTTGTGGTATGAATTATCGTGTTTACATGTATCTGATTTGGCTCTTTAGGATTTGACCAAGAGTGATCATGCTGAGTAATTATTTATATTACTTAACTCCTGATAAGGAAAAAAATAAGATGGTGGAAGAATTTTGTTGACTTGTCAACCTGCGTCTTCATACACTTGGTACTTATATCTGATGAATTTTGTTTGCAAATTATGGGAATAGATGTTGATTCTTTTAATGCACTGTAATCAATTTGGCTGCAAAACCAAAGGCTTACTAGGTTAGACGTCAGTGAATCTGAGTTGAGGCATTAATACTAACTGAGATCCCTAGGCTTTACAATGAATTTACCTTTCCCCTCATTCTAGGTGATTCTTTGCATATCGAAGAAGTACAGCCTTGGAAATGGTGAACTTACTACCATGTTTCTGTAGTGTGATGGACTAAATCCTTTTGGTGGTCTGCGTTCAGACAGCATTCCAAAAGCTGGTTGTCCTGTTGTGGTATGAATTATCGTGTTTACTCTGTTTTGGCTCTTTTGGATTTGACCAAGAGTGATCATGCTGAGTAATTATTTATATTACTTAACTCCTGATAAGGAAAAAAATAAGATGGTGGAAGAATTTTGTTGACTTGTCAACCTGCGTCTTCATACACTTGGTACTTATATCTGATGAATTTTGTTTGCAAATTATGGGAATAGATGTTGATTCTTTTAATGCACTGTAATCAATTTGGCTGCAAAACCAAAGGCTTACTAGGTTAGACGTCAGTGAATCTGAGTTGAGGCATTAATACTAACTGAGATCCCTAGGCTTTACAATGAATTTACCTTTCCCCTCATTCTAGGTGATTCTTTGCATATCGAAGAAGTACAGCCTTGGAAATGGTGAACTTACTACCATGTTTCTGTCGTGTGATAGTTAATAATACTAAATGACCCTGTTATTCTACTCTGCTAGAATCTTGCCAAGGGCTATTGAATAGGTATCACTTTAGAATTTTGGTGACGAGCAAATAAAGGATTTTGCTTTTTATTAAAGCTCGTCAAGATAAACATTTGTCGATATAAAAACTCTGTGTTCCTTTCTTCCACCAAAACTCCTGTTTTGATTCTGAACTTTGTGGCTAGATTTCTGCTAATTTTCCAAAAATTTGCTTTTTTGGTAGTCGACTTGTTAATGCTTCATTACTTGCTGCTGCAGAATTTACAGCAGACATTGGGTGATCTGACACGTAATGGCTTCTCTGTTGTGAGTATGCAGGAAAAAAATTGGTTTTTGCTGCAATTTTTTTTGCCATGTTGGCATTTTCATATTTTTATAAATCGAAGATGCTATATTATATTTCATAATGATTGGGCTAATTTGATTCTAGTGCATAGTGGAGGAAGTTCAGGGTCCTACTCAAGCTCGGACTCGTAAAAGTCGTTTTATATCTGGGTAATTGAATCTATCAACACTCTGACTTGTTATCTTTATTTATTTTTTGTCTCTAGTTTTCTGTTCTCTGTTATTTATTTCTTGCTTCTGCATTTGTGAGACAGCGTTGTTTCAATTTATGTTCCATTTTTTTTCTTTCCTGCTTCTACATCAAATTTGTGTATGCTAGTCTTTAAATTATAAACTGCCTTATAAGTGTAACATATTCTGGCCTTTCTAGAGAACATTGACCAGGATTCTTGTCTTGTCACAGTTTAATGTGCATATCCTGTTTTGACTTGACATTACTTTTCAGACATGCACATCCGGGTAGTCCTTATGTCTTTGGACTTGTTGGAGATGATCATGACCTGGACTTTCCAGAACCAATGCCTGTAGTTGGTATGAGCAAAGCAAAACTATGCAGGGTAGTTTAGTAAATTTATTAAGATAGTACTATTTTGAATTTCTGATTTAATTAATTATGTTTCTTATTATAATTTATTTCCTGTAATATTGTTAAACTCAAGTTTCTGTTTTGCTAATCTTGTCTCCATGACCCAAGGTATATCTAGTTCGGCCAAGGGATATTGCATGATTTCGGTGCTGGAGACTATGAAGACTTATTCTGCAGAAGATGGTCTAACAGAAGAAGCTTTAGTTACTAAGATCCGTACTTGTCAATGCCATCATTTGTTCCTGCATTCGTCATTAAAGAACGATTCTTCAGGTTTGTGAGAACTTCTGCACCTGCTCCTTTTGGAAAGTAATACTTAGAACTTAGTAACTGGAACCTTGAATTGATGTAGATCTCTGATTGCCTCTTTAGATGATTTCGTGTGCTTCATGTAATACACATTATATGAGGCTAAATGTGAAAGAAAGATAAAGCCCCTATTTGAGCTCCATTCTCCATAAATTCATTTTTACCCAAAATTCATTTTCAACTATACATTCTCCCTATAAAATAATTTCACTCGACTCAAAACTTTTCCCTACTTTTTAAACAAACATTCTCCCAAAAAAAAAAAATAATAAAAAAAATAAAAAAAAAATAATAAAAATCACTATTACAAAATCTGTTTCATGAAAAATGGGGCTCAAATAGAGCCAAAGTTTTAACAATTTGTCTTTCTAGTCAAAGCTTCACGATATTCCTCCTTGACAGAAAATTCACATAATGGAAAGATGCTGTAGTCGTATATTGATTTTGTTTTCCACGAGTTCATGTTTTCTTGCTGTCTGACTATATTGATACCTTAACTATCTATTCTTGCTATATTTTTGCTGGTTGGAGGCACTATGACACACTTCTTTTCTTTAAACAATGTAATAACTCTGACACACTCCTGGACTTTTGTCTTTAATTCGGATAGCTTGGTATTTGTTAGCATTTGCTGTGAGTTGCTGCCAGTCAATTGAACTTATCCATTGGGTAGTTATGATGCCATATGAAGTTTGTGTTGTAAGTGATGACTTAGAGGATTTCAGTTCAACTTCTAAAATGTTGATGATATTCAGAAAATTCTGGATCGTTATAGTTTCCGTTTACCCTCTGTTCATGAATCATGTAGCTAATAATCTCAAAGGAAGGGTACAATAGAAGAAAGTTCCTAAGCCATGTAATATCTAATTTTTACTGCCAGATAGAAGGCTCTTGTGATATTCTGGTTTGGGCGAAATACAATGATCAGTGCAGGTAGAATGTATCGTTTACTCATTTTATTCTAGAACAATGATGCTTGTAATCTGGATTGTGGCATTTGCAAAAGCTGGAGACGTTCCATGTTGTACCAGACTGCCAGTTAACTAAAGTCTGTATAAACTCAGTAGAGTCGTAGACCGATTTCAAATATTTCCAGAGTTATTAGTATTAAACAATGTGCCTACTTTCTATGGCATTGATTATAGCAGTAATTTATATATGATATATAGCTGTTGCTCTTCTTCTGTAAGTAGTAATTCTGTTATTTTTTATTGTCACAATTATAAAGACTCTTTTGCAGGAACTTGTCGCTGGGGAGAGTTTGGCGAAGGTGGGCTGTTATGGGGAGAATGCAATTCAAGACAATTCGAATGGTTCGAAGGCAATCCAGTGAACGAACTTTTGTTTAAGGTTGCAGCATAATGATCTTATGTCTTTCACCTGGAATCTTGTTCCTGGCTTGTCTTTATCACTGCTGACGCAATTTAACTTGTTAAAATTCAGGTGAAAGAGCTTTATGGCCTTGAGGATGATGTTACATTCCGAAATGTCACTGTTACTTCAGAAGATAGGCCCCGCCCTTTACACCTTGGGACAGCCACACAAATTGGTAAGCCAAAATTGTAGACAGTTTGGACATGTTCGCATTCCGTACATCAATTGTTTGACTCTATCTGTCATTGCATTGAAATTGCACTGTATTAATTAGTTTTTGGGAAGTGAATTTGAAATTTAATGCTATACATGGTAAAAAATATCATCAATGGCCGTGACTTTGAAAAACATACCATTAAACTTTTTGAGAAAATTGCTACGAAGGTTGCCAACCATGGCTTTATTTCTTGGCACTTTAATCTTGAACCTTTCATTTTTGTGGCTTTTGGTTTCTGAGTGTAGAGTATCCAACTGTTTGACAGTTAAAAAGTCATATTTTAATTAAATACAAGATTATACTCGTCTTCAATTAAATATAAATATAAATTAAAATAAGAAAATAAAATTTAAAATTTGCAACAATATGCTCCTCCCATCCAATCACTTACCACCCCTACCTCAAAACTGCTCATCTCAGGTGGGAGGGAGTTGGGGGTGTGGAAATTGATGAATCGGAGGGAAAATAGACAAGGGCCCTTTTTTTATATTTTTTTCTTAGATACTAAGTTTTCAGCCTCTCTACCTCGCCAACGATGGGCCATGTAGGGTCACATGACTTTTAATGTCAGCATAAATGTAGAGCGACTAAGATGACAAACTTGAAAGTTTGGACCCCAGTGCCCAAAAAAGGTTGGGGATTCAACTCCAGAATTTCAGTAGGTTGTGGACCTCTGCATGTTATCCTTAACTTTATCTGATATAAAAAGTTCAGTATAGGGAGCATCATCTGGTGCTATGTCAGTTGAACTAATGCATTTTTCTTCTGGTGTCATTTTCAGGTGCTCTACCAACTGAAGGAATACCATGTCTGCTCAAAGTACTGCTTCCATCAAATTGTACTGGTCTACCTGTTCTGTAAGTGATAACTTTCATATGGGTCTTCAGGCTTTTTATACACACACATCTGTCATCATACTTTATATGTGTGGAACAATTCTAATATTATAACTATATGTCGATGGCAACAAGTTATTAAGATAACATCATCATGCTGGTTCATGTCACACCCACCTTCTCTCTTAGTTTCATTGTCAACTTCTAAACCAATCAGATCCAGATATGAATTCATTATTGGCATGATTGAATTATAACACTATGCCCCTGTTTGATGGGGATTAAATCAGATTTTTAGTAAATTTTGGTAAAAGTCGATGAAATGTATATTTGAAAAGTTGTGGATCCTATAATATGTGTGGTTAAAATTAATTGTTGACTTTGATTTTGACTTAAATTAAAATCTAAATTTTATTTTTTGTCAAACAGGGGCTATAGTTTTCTCACAAAAGGGCCAATATTTCTTTTAAACTGCCAATGATTTTCAGCAACTATACTTGCTTTCAGTAGGGTTAACTTCCGCTTTCTAGCTGGTAGTGAATGGAGCTCCCTCCCTTAATATCCAAATCCATTAGCCAACCACTTCTCAACCACCCAATCACCACGCACCCACATCGATGTCAGCGACGGCAATCAGGCATCGCCAGGCATACTCCGAACAATCGGCCTCACGCCACATATTAATACACACTCATAGGCAGCGGCCCTAGGCAGAAACCCTAGCGTCGCCGCTCAAACCGTTGTTCCAACAGTAGGCGAGCCAACCTGGAGTGATGCGGAAACCCTAGACGTCGGCAAAACTGGTGTAAAAGGGAGAAAGAGTTGCATTGATCTGGGATCCAAAATTAGATTCCATGTGAACCAACCGTTGTTCCGGCACACTTGCCCTACTAGCGGGCAATGCTGGCAAATCCGAAGCCGACTGGACCATGGCATGGCTCCGGCACAGCTCCAGCGACGTGTTTGAGCCCACGCGCCGACGTCGGAACAGCGGCCGGTTGTTCGGAGTATGCCTGGCAATGCCAGATTGCAATTTTGGTGAACGCACTCCCAAGGGTTATTTTCGGAGTAGCAGGGGTTTGAGGCAATGGGATCTTTTGTCTCCATTGTTGTTTGTTATCGTTATGGAGGCGTTCAGTAGGATGCTTGAGAAAGCTGTGGAAGAGGGTTTGTTGAGGGACTTCATGGTTGACCAATTGTGGTATCTCATTCGCTATTTGCAGATGACACATTGATCTTCTGTGATGCAGATGCTGAGCAATTTAGGAACTTGCGTTGTCTGCTTCTATGCTTTGAAAATGTATCTTGTTTGAAGATAAATTTGTGAAAATTCGAGGCTATCACAGTGAGATGTCGACAACGTAGAGGAGTTGGCGGCCAATTGGGTTGTAGGGTTGCGCAAATGCCTATATTATACCTTGGGCTTTTCTTAGGAGCACGTTTTAAAAGTATACACATTTGTAACTGCATTGTGGAAAGGGTGGAGAGAAGGTTAGCGGGTTGGAAGTGTATGTACCTCGCAAAGGGAGGACGTCTTACCCTTATTAAGTCCACCCGATCGAATCTCCCTACTTATTTCTTTTCATTGTTTCCTATTCCCGTTTCAATGACAAAAAGATTAGAGAGGATTCAACGGGAGTTTCTATGGGGAAGAAACTTCACTTGGTTAATTAGAGTGCAGTTTGTTCTCCCCTAAGGATGGGGGGCCTTGGACTGAGAAGTCTTGTACTATTTAATAAGGCTTTGTTGGGTAAGTGGTTATGTATATTCGGCGTGGAGAGGGAGAGCTTTTGGAAAGGAATTATAGAGGCGAAATCTGGTGTTATGGAGGGGGATGGTGCTCAGTTGTGGATCGTAGTTCTTACGGGATGAGCTTATGGAGTTTCATCCGACAAGGGTGGAAAGACTTTCGGGATAGATTAACGTATGTGGTGGGGAATGACAATACTATCAGATTTTGGAAGACTGTTGGTGTTGAAATCGACCTTTAAAAGTGGAATTTCCTTCTCTATATCGTGTTGCTTTGAGTCCATCTCCTATTGTGAATGAAGTCTTACATATATCTAATGAGAATCTTAGCTGGAACATTGTTTTTGGGAGTTTGCAGGATTGGGAGTTGGATGATTATGCGCTGTTTTTTACCTCTTTGTATAAGGTGCACATTAAGGTAGGAGCTCTGATGCTCGGACTCTTCGAAATGGTTGGAGTACCCGTGTCGGACACAACACAACATGGGTATGGGTATGAGATATGTGTCGGATCCTCCAAATTTTAACCGGACATTTCGTTGTTTTTGCTTTTCTTCCTTCTTTCTTTTTTTTTTTTTATTTCATTTTCTTCTTTCTTGTTTCTAATTAGTTCTCCACTATGTCCAAATTATAATCAAGTCCCTTATTTGCTATTTTATATAACATTTAATAATGTCTATAATTGAAAACTAAATCCCAAAATTTTGTTTTATTCATCTCAACTCCTTATTCAATATCCATTTCCTTCTTTGTGAATAATTGATTTTGATTTATTCAAAACGACTTCTTAAAGTAGTAAAAAAATTGAACCTTGAAAGACGTATCCACGTACCCATGTCCGAAAATTGGACTCTTTGTAACCATGTTCCTGTATCCTATATTTTAGAAAATAAAAGATCCGACACCTGGATATGTACCCATATCGGATACTCGTACCCGAGTCCGAGTATCATAGGGTAGGAGAGAGAGATTGTAGCAGGTGGAGGTTGGCACGGGATGGTACCTTCTCAGTTAGCACTTATTTTAGATCCTTATTGGGACGTGTGGAGAGCTCATTCCCTTGGAAGATGGTATGGAAATGTAAACTACCCCTCAGGTGGCATTCTTACTATGGACGGTTGTAAGGGGACAGGTGTTAACAATGGATAACCTCCGAATAAGGGGTTTTTATGTTAAGGAATGGTGCTATATGTGTAGAAAGAATGGAGAGACGATTGGTCACTTCTTTCTTCATTGTGATGGTGCTCATTCCCTGTGGAACGATATTCTGGCTTCTCAACATATGAATTGGGCGTTTTCGTGGCGTATGGAGGATGTACTGAAAGCATGGAGGAGAAAATTTCGTAATGAGGATAGCACGCTTGTCTGAAATCTTATTCCGGGATACATCGTCTGGTGTGTGTGTGAAGGGAGAGAAACAGCTGCTGCTTTGACGGTCATACACGAACAACTGAGTAGATTAAAGAATTATTTTATATGACATTGTATACTTGGTTTAATGCTGCAGCTTCTACTCATCTAGATGAGTTGCCTAATTTTAAGTTGTTTTTTCTTGTATTAACTGATAATACATTGCCTGTGTATTATTAGTGATTAATAAAATATTTGATTACCTATTAAAAAAAAAAAAGTTATCTTGATGTGGGATGGAGGCAGAACAAGCGCAATAATAAGAAGACGATCTGGAGAAGATGAAGGGATTTACGGCCCAAGTTAGGTTTTGTATGTAATGATGGGTTAATGGTATTGGTTGGGTTGGGGTAAAATAATTTTAGATAAGTGGGCTTTGGCTATGTGGGCTAATGTTCTTAGGCTACAATATTTTTTGTATTTAGGGCTCTTGAGTGTATATGTATTTGTAATTGGTATGTAATTGGGGTTGTTTTTTGGGCTTGATTTAATTGACTGGGGTGGGATGATTTATTTGCCGCTTAATTATTATTTAACTTTTTACATGTGGATTTCGGAAAAAAGAATTAAAAGACGTACTCACGTACTTGTATCCGAAATTTGGACTCTTTTTAGTCATGTCCTCGTATCCTATATTTTAGAAAATAAAAGATCCGACACTTAGATATGTACCTGTATCCAATACTCGAACCCGCGCCCGAGCATGATAGCTTGGGGCGCATATGAACCTTTAATATGTGAGTTCTCATTCTGCTTCTGTATATTGTTCTATGGGATATTTCTTCCTGTTAAAGATAACACCATCCTTTGCCATCTTCCTGTCTTATTGTCTATAAGTTCACTTTTTCTATCGGTTGAGCTTCTTTTTTTTTTTCTGTTACTTATTTTGTTAGTGCACAAAGTACCTCAACATTAATTTTGGTTATTGATAAGCTAGTTATGCCTTTTGGTTTCCTTACTTTTTGTTTGCTGTTTGCACAGGTATGTTAGAGATCTTCTGCTGAATCCTCCTGCATATGAGATTGCATCAACAATTCAAGGTGGCTATTGTATATCACCATATGCAATGTTATGTCATACTTGCATTGCATCTGTAGTGATTCCCACTTTCTAGTGATATGTGGTGGTATCAGTTATCATGTAATGAACACGTTCAATTCTTTGTTAATATGTGTCGGATATTTTATAGTTATATGCCAGATTTAATTATGATGATCATCCTTAGTGATAAGAAATAACTCACATGATGAAATCTGTTACATTTTTGGATATATTTGTTTGAGCTAATACTTGTGATGCAAGAATTTATATTTGATAGTGAACCATTAAATAATAAGAAAATAAAGGGGTGCAAAGAAGAGAAGAATTGAACAATAAAAGTAAGCGCAAAAGTTTCGTGATTGATTTTTATTTGACATGAAATTTAGGAACATGTCAGGAGCTAATATCTTATGACTGTAATTAGTAGGCAATAATCGAATATATTTGGAAAAGTGTGCACATGAATAATTGTCTTACAAAAAAATTAAGAACTCGAGGAGTATCGATAATTTGAGATTATGTCACAACAAAGTCAACTTTAGAAGCACACAGGAGTAGACCAACTTTTTTGGGTGAGGTGATAATACTATAGGTAATTCATCAATTGTGTCATGGTCTATTATGTCCAAGATCAGTGTGAGAGGGGATACGAAACAAGTCTCACAACTCTTATCCTCGCTATCAAAATAGTCAATAGGTTCAAGAATAAAAACTTTATTTTCTTCTTCAAGAGGAGGACTAACAAACCCTGATTTAGGACTGATTTAAGTAATATTCGTAGTTTTGTACATGATTGATGAAGACGAAAAGATATTTACCAAAGATTAGCTAGGTGGTAAGTTTCATCTTAGGATTGGTATGCAGGATGTCGTGAGGCAAAATTTTAGGTTTTAAACCATCGGTAAACATGGACGCTGTGATTTGGGGAGCTTCATAAATATAGCAATTGTGCAATAATTCTTCGAAATGGGCTAGATACTCACACGGTGAACGTACCGTGTCTACAGTGCACAAATAATTGATTTATTACTTAAGATTCATTTCATTTAATCCCATCTAGTGATAGAGCGTTGACTAAGACTATTACGTAAAAAGAATTTTCAATAAATCTTAGCAGAAGCATTTCTTCCTGTGACTGCCTTTCCTACCAACAAGCTAACTCAACAAAATCCAGGTTCTTTCTAGACTAGACCTTCGGACTGAGTGATACATTACCATAACAAATTCGATGGGAATCACTCAAATTGTTAAAGACAAAGAATTTTTCAAACTTATCAGTCTAATCCCGAAATGACTCTAGACCAGTCCAACCATCAAAAGTCCCACGGTTACTAGGTAACTAACCTAGAAGGATAATGAATGCTGTCAACATAGTTCCTAGGCCAAGGATAATTGTTCTGATAATGGGAAGGCACACTATCGTGAGAAGGCTAAGGATAATTGTACTGATAATAGGAAGGCTAAGGATTATTGTACTGATGATGGGAAGGCACACAATGTCGTCACCCTCCTTTGCTTAGAAATTGTAGCAAATCTCGTCGGAGTCAAGTTTTTGCAATCAGGAAAAAATGATGGGAATTTCTTACCTAAATTTGATAGATTCTCCAGTATTTGATTAGGTGTTTCTTACCTAAATTAGACTAGTTTAGACCTTATACAAAGAGGCTTATGATTTGTAATAAGGCCCAACTTTGATGCGAAATAAATTGATTTCTATCCTTCTAAAATTTCTCTTTTCTCTTCGTTCTCTTCTATTTCTCATCTCTTCTTCTTTTCTCTTCTCAATCTTATTATTGTCGGATTGTGTACATCATAAAAAAGCCTCGAGAAGCTTTGAGGCGTAAGCCTCAATAAAGAACAATAAATAAATTCCAAAGAATATAAAAATACAAAAATGTGCTCATAATATACCATGAACCTTTTTCTACAAAATCCAAAATGAAATTAAGGCTCTGTTTGAGCTCCATTTTTTTTTGACAAATGAGCTTTGTAATACGGTTTTTTTTTTTTTTTTAAAGAATGTGGTTAAAAAGTAGAGGACAATTTTGTCTTTATGTCCAAAATTATTTTAATGGAAGAATATGTGGTTAAAAGTGAGTTTGAGGAAAAATTAACATATTAAAAGTTTAACTTGCAAATAGACATAGAATAGATTTTAAAAAAGGAGAACTTAATAAGTTTTTTAATTGGCAATCATCTAACAAAAGTTTAATCTATTACTAAATGTGGAGACAACTCAAACTCTTTTTATATCATCACTACTCTTTAAAGGAATCAATTATACCATTGTCATTCATTACAAGTTTTTCTTCCATTCTTTATCATCCTCCAATTGAAATGATGTATTCTCCTTCCATTTTTCTTAGTGTAGGTAGAAGGAAAAAAAGTAAAATCGTAAAACCTTTAAGGTTATGAAGAAATAACTTGCCAATAACAAAATGTTTGTAAAATGCTAGGCAAGCTTTTGGACCGCCTTAGTCGGCTTGAGGTGTTATCTTCACAATGTCAAGGTTTAAGCCTTACAAAATCGAGGTGTAAGCCTTTCAAATGGCATATAAGGTGCAGTTTGATGTTTTTATGATAGCCTTACACCTCAAAAAGTTTTTTAAACCATGACGCTGATGACAAGTCATTCATGTACACAGCTATAGAGTTGCAATCAAAATAAACAACACAACCATCCCCTAAACGTGAACACATGTTTTCTCATTCATCTGTTTAGAATATGAGGTGCCTATACTCCACCTGCAAGTTAAGAAAACTTTCTTTTGCTATGCTCACTTTACACATGATATGGGTTTCCTGAATTCATTCATTTGTATTATCAGTATTTCTTTTTCTACAGTGCTTAAAAAGAATTTTTGTCTGGCTGCAGAAGCATGCAAACTTATGAGCAATATAACATGCACCATTCCTGAATTTACCTGTGTTCCTTCAACCAAGGTCGGATTCCTTTACCCTGTATGTGTTCCTAGTATTTTCTCATGTAAATGGCCAAATGCCTTTCTCACTGTAAATGTATTGCCAATTGTACAGTAATATCATCCATTGTGTTGCAAAATGAGTTTAGAATTAATTTTATGCCCAATAAGTTTGATTTTTCAAAGTAGATTGTGGTCACAAGTAATTATGTTTGAGAGAGACTCTGTTTTCTTCTAGTAATTTGTATATTGCTCTAGTCAGGAAAGGATGGTGCTAATTCATCATGATCTTTTGAGTTGCTTTTTACATCATCTTTAGTCGGTTTTGAATCTCGGAAACTGATGAACCAGTTTTGTTTGGATCATATCGTCTGAAATAGTTGTTCATTTCTTAATTATTGATTAGTAATCATGATTTTGAAGAAAAATTTGCTACAATAATTACTGCATTTCTGGTATGAAGTTAAATCCGGATTGAGTTACCTAGTATACTTTCATATGGCTCGCGTTGTCTCCTGTACATTTGCTCTCTAAACTATAATGAAAACCACTAAAGATATCACAGTTGGAACATACAGCTGACAGTTAAGTAACGTTGTGCCACTAAGGAAATTGTTGCATTAGCCAAACCCATTGCACAATCAATTGCTGATGAATATGTTAATAACAGTTCTAAATTTATTCTCAAAATATCCTATTCTGGGGTTTTACGGGTGACTCCTTCTAAATGAGTCGGTGACTTCAAAGTTTAAACTCGAGTACTGTAATCTCCATTCAGATTTCTGGATTTTTTGGTTATCAGTTTACTTTTCCTTACTTCTGTAACAAAGATAAAATAAATAAACGTTTTAAGCATGACTGTTTGATTGCATTATGATTAAATATGATCATGAAGATGGTTTGTCCAGGTCAGTTTAATAAATGCCACTATCCTCTCTTCTACTTTGGCAGTAAGTCAGATGTTCAATTACTTTTGGGGAACAACTTTTCTCTGCCATCATTTTTGTATGTAGTCATATATCCAACACTATAACTATTTGTCTCACAATCACATGTGTGCATGAGTGCAATATCTGTATGTCTTATATGAACTACACCTGACAGTGTTTCTTTTGTGTAGAAGATAATGATTGTTACATTATTTTTATCCATCGAATTATGTTTGTAAATGTTTCAGTCTCTCTGTTTCATGGCTGTCATTTTTTGTCTCTGTTCTTGTCCATCTTCAGCTTGTGAAGTTGCTTGAGTTGAGGGAGGTCAATCATATTGAGTTTTGCAAAATTAAAAACTTGCTTGACGACATACTGCAAATGTACAGAAGTCCAGAGCTCAATGCAATCCTGAAGTTATTAATGGATCCTACTTGGGTGGCAACTGGGTTGAAAGCTGAATTGGAGACATTAGTAAGTAGATCTCTATGTATAAATTGCTATCTGTTCATTATTCAAACTCATCATAAGTTAAAAGGAAAAAATAACATGTTTAAACTTTGTGCTTATATTTTACTTTTGCCCACGGCTTGTTGACACTTTACACTATTAAATGTCTTTGAGTAGCAATCGATTAATGGGTCAAATGTCATTTGATCTTCTTACTTTCAGGTGAATGAATGTGAGTCTGTATCTTGTAGAATTGGTGAGATAATCTCTTTAGAAGGTGAAAAAGATCAGAAGATGAGCTCCTATACTGCAATACCAAACGAGTTTTTTGAAGATATGGAGTCATCATGGAAAGGTCGCATCAAGAGGATTCATTTAGAGGAAGAATTTGCTGAAGTCGATGAAGCTGCAGAGGCCTTATCTATAGCTGTAAGTCTTTCAGAGTCCTCACGAAGTACTAGCAGTCTCGTTCATCTCTTGTGATTGTATGTGGCATAGGAACGTTACATATACATGGTGCTCGTGATAACTCAAAATTTTCTCAGCTGTTCTGTATATTGTGCCGCAGAGACATAATATATTCATTGATGAAAAATTTAACGAGGTTTATGGATTGAGAAAAGCATAGTAAAATGGTTAGTTTAAAGCTCTCTGCTATCAAGAGGTTTCCCTGTTATTTCTTTGAACGGGGTTCCCAATATATGCTTTGTCTTTCATTTCCTTCCTTCTCAGCAAAATTATAATGGAAGCTTAAACAACTCCTATATTAATTTGGTGAATCATCTCATTTTATTTAACAAAACTTGTATTTTTTTCTTCCATCCAGAAAAGATGAGGGTAATAAATGTTTAATTATAAATCTAAAAGAAAATAAAATTTTCAATTTGGAAAGATTGTGAATTACTAAGTAGGAATCCATAGCATAGTTTCACATCTCTAATAGAATCTCTCTGAGATTAATAAATGTATAAAGTAAAATGCTTTGTCCATTTAAGGTTATTATTTGTTTCCAAAGACGACATATATGTGCTCCATCTAATAGCTTAATTTTTAGATAAAGTGGTTCAACATGCTATCAGAGCGGGCTAAGTTATGGCAAAGGGCTTGAGTTCAAGCTTGCAGCCATCCATTGTGCGCATTTTTAGGATTTGATGGGAAAACATGAATCCACCTACATGTGAGGGGTGCATTTGAATGCAAAATTAAATGATACACATGTAGTCCTCTTTGACATCTTAGTTTTTGAATCAAGCGGTTCAACATTTTGTTTTACAGAGGAAGGCACCTGTAGCACTTGGAAATGAATCAACCAGATCCTTGAATATTGTGCTCTCAACATCAAAGTTTAAGATTTTTTATTCACCCTTTGAGCTGCAGACCTTCTAACATTTGGAAATGAGATAACCTGGAATATTTTACCATAAGTTTAAGTTTAAATTGGATGTCAACGTCTTCTAGGTCAAAGAAGATTTCCTTCCTATACTCTCAAGAATCAAAGCCACAACAGCTCCACTTGGAGGGCCCAAGGGAGAGATATTATATGCTCGTGAGCATGAAGCTGTATGGTTCAAGGGAAAACGTTTTACACCTTCTGTTTGGGCTGGTACGCCTGGAGAAGAACAAATTAAACGACTCAAATCTGCTCTAGATTCAAAAGGTAAAAAAGTTGGAGAAGAATGGTACACCACATTGAAGGTGGAGGAAGCACTAGCAAGGTACTTACATCATTGATTGTTGTAATGGAATTCATTTTTCATATTTTTATTTATTAATTGCCTTTTCTTTAATTGTAGCTTATACTTCCATTTGGTTTTCAGGTATCATGAGGCTGGTGAGAAGGCAAAATCAAAGGTCTTGGAATTGTTAAGGGAACTTTCTACGGAGCTACAAACGAAAATCAATATCCTAGTTTTTGCATCCATGTTGCTTGTCATTGCGAAGGCATTATTTGGCCACGTGAGGTTGCATTTAAGTGCCCTTTTGCTCTTCCTTTTGGATGTGTGAAGGAATATTTGATTTTTCTTATCGATCAGAAGAACATTGTGTACACATTGCTATACAGAGCTAATATCCTAACTTAGTCAATTTTTCTTTTAATCCCTCTAAACTGGATATTCAGCCTAGGATGTTATCCGTTGGTTGAAACATATGGAGTGCATACCAGTCAACTTATGTTCTCTAAATGTCTATGCATTTCCACATGCTTAGTCCAGTTACACCGAACTGGATTATGAGATATATTAATAGTAGACTTGTGAACTCTGTAGAGTTCTATTAGTACTTGCCACATGATTTTAAGATCTTCAAGAATGATTTTCTGCCGCAGAAATTCACAAATTCTATATGCCAAGGATGTGCGCGTCCTTGTACTTCTGATCTTTCTTTTTTAATTTTTTAATTACTGTTTCCTCCTGATCTGAAATAAATTCCTGAAATGTGCACTTTATCTTTTGTCCAGTGAAGGGAGGAGAAGAAAATGGGTTTTCCCAACTCTCAATCGATGTCACAGAGTTCAGGTAGTTTATGAAAGCACCAATTACTAATTTACCATTTAACTAGTATAAAGTATACTTGGGAACTGATTTCTATTAAGGTTGTATGTTCTTTTTGGATTTTGTGTTCCATGGATACTAATTTTTGAATTTATTAAAGCTAAATTGCAACTGTCTTGTACTTTTCGTGGAAAGCATATTTTTAGGAAGTAATCCCTCAATTTTCTCAATCCTGGCTATTGGTTTCAGACTTATATCATCATCTTTAATTGGCTTAAATCCTCCAAGTTGCTTATGTAGAAACAATGAATGTAAAAGATCCAGGTCAATAGTCCTTTTACATTTTCGACCTTTCATAAATGAGCTTCATGAATAATGATGCTTGATTTAGGCTGTAGAGCTCTCTAGTTAATGTAGAAAGAATTGTTCTTGTGTGTGATATTTGTGGAGTTTGCTGCTGGACCTTTGATATTACAAATTGGATATATTACATGTGGCGGATTTCACCCACCCAATGTTGGCCCTGACCATAGATGGGGTAGGCGATCATCTAAGGCCCCACTTTGATGAGTGCCCCAAATTATGTAAGGCTAATTGATTAGTTGAAAAAAAACTAAAATTATATCTGTGAAATTCTTTAAAATAGAATAATCAATATGCAAACACAAGAAACTAATAAAAATTGAAAATGCAAAAATCTTTAAAAAACATTAAATGACATAAAATTTAGAGTAATGCTATTTAGCTCCACTCAGGTTGCAACTCCAGTCTATGTGGCGCCAACGTTGCATTTTAATTTTGTATTCTGAACTTCACTTATAACTTGTATTACATGCTGATATTTGACATTTTATTATTTTTCTCTTCAAATTTTGGGGCTTAGTTGTGTGTATTAGATTCTTCATAATTATATTAAAATTCTCTATAAGAAGGCTCAAGTAAGAACAAAATAATTTTTCTTCCATAGGGCCCATTTTTGAAGTTGGCATAAGGCCCCAAAATATCAGGGCTGGCCTTGCACCCACGAATACCCACTATCAATTTCTTTAAAGTTATAAACTCCCAAGGGTGTCCTGTGTCAGTTTATTGCGTGATGAAGATGTCGAGGGCTTACTCAAAAATATAAGGGCCATATGATCCTGGACTGTAATTGCTCACTTTATTTCTGTACGGTCAAATCTGAAAGGATGAACATGGAACATTGCAGGATGAAGATGCTGATGGGATGAAGATAACGGGGCTATCTCCTTACTGGTTTGATGCAGCACACGTTAGTGCAATACGAAACACAGTTGATATGAAATCACTGTTTCTCTTGACGGGGCCAAATGGGGGTGGGAAATCAAGCTTGCTGCGATCAATTTGTGCTGCTGCATTACTTGGAATATGCGGATTCATGGTGCCTGCAGAATCAGCTATTATTCCTCATTTTGACTCCATTATGTTGCACATGAAATCTTATGATAGCCCTGCTGATGGAAAGAGTTCATTTCAGGTTGCTTTATATTATAATACCAAAGCTTCCCCCGCCTATCTATTTACAAAATATATACAACATTACAAGCAGAGAGAGCATCACATTTGCACATAAGGACACCATATTTGTACACGAAATACAATTCTACATGACTTGCATGTATCTTTTGGAGCATAAGATGTTAGCTGCTGAACCCTGTTGGGCCCTGATTTTTATGACACATTGCTAATTACCTAGTTACACATTGGGCAGTTTTTCCATGATAGTTTGCGTTCTTTGTTTGGGTAGGACAATAAACCTTTTCCATATAGTAGTTGTCACAGTTGCTATATCAAGCCTAATTGCTATGGTGGGGAATATAATAATCAAATTTAAAAATTATATTCTCTTAATAAATTGATTTTCTTTTGGTTATTGGTTGTACATTTTTTATTTTGTTTTGAATCTGGTATGCAAAAAGGGATGGAGGATATATGCTTGCTAATTGCTACAATCTAGATTTTCACAAAAATGTGGTTGAGACACGGCTGCAGTCAAATACCTGTTTGTTGAGGTAGTGGTGCTGCTTGTTCCTTGATGATGGTAAATAGATAGTTGATGTTGATGCCAATGATCCACATTTGATTGGCAGATAGAGTCAAACTTTGTTTACATGATAATATACCATAATGGAAAATTTGCTTTTTCCTTATCTTATATCTTCATATTGATATCTCAGATTGAAATGTCAGAGATTCGCTCTATTATCATGGGAGCCACTTCAAAAAGTCTTGTGCTTATAGATGAAATTTGCAGAGGGACAGAAACGGCAAAAGGGACATGTATTGCTGGCAGTGTAATAGAAACGCTCGATGCAACGGGTTGCCTGGGTATTGTGTCAACACACTTGCATGGGATTTTTGATTTGCCATTGCGAACTAAGCATGCTGTTTATAAAGCTATGGGATCAGAATGTATTGATGGTCAAACAATACCAACATGGAAATTGATTGATGGGATCTGCAAAGAGAGCCTAGCATTTGAAACAGCTCAGAGAGAAGGGATTCCTAAACCATTAATTCAAAGAGCTGAGGAATTGTATCGTTCTGTTTATGCTAAAGATCCATTAAGAACATATCAGCCAAAAACAAAGCACTTTACTGCTTCTACAGATGTTCATGTATCTGATAAAGCTAGTAGAAGACAAAGTGATGATGCAGAAAAAGATGTGCGTCCCCTGACTGAGTCACTGAACCCAGTGGAAAAATTGCGCATAGAAGTGGAGAATGCTGTAATTAGCATCTGTCAGAAACGGCTAACTGAGCTTTACCAAAAGAAGAATGCATTAGAGCTTCCAGCAATGAAATGTGTTCTAGTTGCTGCCCGGGAACAACCGCCTCCATCGACTATTGGCAATTCAACTGTGTATGTGATTCTTAGACCTGACAAAAATCTCTATGTTGGCGAGGTATTTGTCTTTCACTTATGTTCAGGTTTTCAATTTGGTAAAGTTAAATTGGTTGATAAGAAATATGACTTTTTCTACCTCCATTTCAAGCAAATTTATGACTTCCATTTAATATTTAACTTCAGACTGATGATCTAGAGGGTCGAATCCATGCACACCGCTTAAAAGAGGGAATGCAGAATGCCTCATTCCTCTATTTCTTGGTACCTGGGAAGAGCATCGCTTGCCAATTAGAAACTCTTCTGATCAACCAGCTTCCTGGTAAAGGCTTCCACTTGATCAATGTAGCCGATGGAAAGCATCGTAATTTTGGCACTTCTGACCTCTTATTAGAAAACGTGTCATTGGTTAGATAACTCTATGATCACTATCTACAATCTTTTGAAAGATGCAATGTAATGTATAGGGAAAATGAAAAGTTAATGTGAACCTTGTAGTGGAATATGATTGCATACAGCCTACAAGTTAATGTGAGCCTTGTCACTGATGGTTCAAGTTGCTCCACTGATGCATGATTATCTTTCCATGGTATTCAGTGAATGTTAAGCTGTTCTTGGCTAGTTTTGGCAAACTTCTGTTCAGATATGTTGACCTTTTATTTGCTTATTTCCCCATTTTTTTTTTTTTTTGAAACAAGAAAAATCAACGATAATATTAAGCAATGTCGCCCCTAACTTGGGATAAAATGAAGAAAGAGTAAAATCAACTGGAGAAGTAATGGCTAAGGGAGCGAGATAATGGCATATTTTGCTCCCATTTAGAGTACTAAGCGACGAGAGTCAATTCTTGCTTCTCCATTGAGCGTTGCAGTTGTTAATGCATAAGGATTTGGACCATTCTTAACAAAGTTGATTTTTCAATATGGATTCTAAGTCTTAATATTATATTCTAGTTTATTAAATTTCAAAGAGTAATTTGATCCGATTAAGACTCAAAAAATGAATACATGAGTTTTAAGATTGGTTTGTTCAAATAAGTCATAATCATCTTGTGAGGGTATGTTAATAGATAAATATAATATCCAACAAAGATGAAATATAGATTAACATATAAAGGTTTGGACTAATTCTTTTAATAAGATTGACCTTTAAAAATGGAATCAAGTCTTAATAAAAATGTAAGTTCAAATCAATGTTAGAAATGTAATTTATGCTTTCGAAGCATTTGTAAATAAATTTGAAGAATATTCATCGCAAAGACTGTATCTTTAGTTGACCTTTTTACCCCCTTCAAGATGCGTTTTCTCATCCCTAATATGTTTTCGTAGAACTGATGAATCACTCGAGCTTGTTAGATACTTAGATATGTGTCGTAATAGCTTCTTATGATCAACTAAATGATTTTATTTATTTTATTCCTCTACCATTTCTAAAGCTTCTATTCTTAAACCTCTTCTTTTGCCTAACTATCACCTTTCCCACTTCTATTTTCCTTAAACCTAGAGCCTATTATTCCCAAAACGATGAGATTAGGAGCAAGGGTGGACTCAGAAATTTTTTCAAATGCAGGCAGAGAAATGCTTTCATCGAATGAAGTTCTAGGTACGTGCAGATATAGAAACAGTTATTAATGCATTGAAATTTATGTAATTGAATCTATTATTCAAACACTTATGTGGTGATTTTAAAATCATTTTGCCCTCCCACATATAAGTTGACACATTCATACACTTATTTATTTGGGCATCGATAAGGCCATTGCCCCTTTTCATGAGTGGTGTGTATGGTCATTAACGATGTGACATTAATTGATTTTCATTCCTACATATTATCCACTGAAGAATTTAACATTTTTAGCATAGATATTACAAGATAATATTTAACTGAGAATTAAAATTTAAATAATAAATCCTACTGTTCAGTATCTTAAGGTCAAATGACCAAAAAGCCGTTGAAACAGGCACGTGACAAGCCATTTTTTGTCATTTCGGAAAATCACGTGACTGGACNTCGGTCCCCAAGCAGAAGGGAAAGTCCTAATACTAAGGTCAAATTTTTCTTCACTGCAATTCTTTTTATATATTTCTTAATTCCTGTTTTAATTGTGAAATTAATTGACTTTCATTGCCAAGAAAAGACTGTTAATGGTCCGTGTTTATTTTTCAGAGGCTTAACAAAATGAGGGAGAGGCTGAAAGAGATGAACCAGTGGTGGAATCAAGTCCTGCACGAAAGTGAAGAGGGCAAACACGAAGACTGTGGCTCTGAAGATAACAATACCGAAAACAATCTCAAGGTTTCAATTATTTTCAGTTATTCGGTTTAACTGATTAATATCCTCTGTGTTAAATGCCCTTTTGAAACTAATCTTGCAATTGTTGGATGTTTCTTGGCGTATTTGTCGAAAGGATTTATTTCAGGAATTTGAATCCAATTTTTTTGTCTGTCTATACAAATATCTGGCTTATGTTTTAAGTTGGGATCTTTAAGTTCATGCTCTGGTGACTCTTTACTTTGTTAGATATGATTTCTTGTTGGATTATGTTCTTGGATCAATCTTTATTAAACCGCAAATTGAATTTATGTGTCTGCAGTTTCTTGATATTAATTATGATGTGCTGCATTGCAAATGTGAAATCATTATAGGTATATTCTTCCTAAATAATTCATTTCGCGAATCCAGTTATGTGTCTGCCTTCACAAGAGTTTTGCTAATTTGTTAGAATCTTTAAATTCAGGCTGTGGTGACTCTTTACGATGTCAGATATGATTTCTTGTTCGATTACGTTCTTCAATTTATGCATCTGGATTCTGTCAGGATTATTGTGTATCATTCGGCACATGAAGCAATCATTCTCAAATTCAAGTTCTTATTCGAGTTGTCATTTGATATTTTGGTCATTTATTTTCCTGTTAATGGAGATGTTGTATATTAATTGCTGCAGGATGAATATGAGACTGAAATTGAAGAACCTGCAGAGGAAGCTGTGTGGGTGGAGAGGAAGGGGGAGTTCCTAGTTCTTCATTTCAGGTGCCCCTGTGGCAAAGGCTATCAGATTCTTCTTCATGGAAGCAACTGTTACTACAAGCTCACAAGTTTCTGATCTATCCCAATCTTTACTCAAAGATTTCTATATGATCAGCAGCGAAGATTCGACTTGTTTTTTCCCTTATCAAGTTTGTGCTAACCAATTGTACAGAGAAAACTTTTGTTAGATAATGTTCATATAGCGTAGGTGAGAGGCCCTGTTTAATTCAGTTTACAGATTGTTGTTTCGGTTAGGACCTGTTATATTTCAGTTTACTGATTTATGTTTTGTTTCGGAATGTCTGTTCTATATTGCTGTTTTAGTCCTATAACTGATTCAACAATTTTTTCGAAGAATCGATGTTCGATTGATATAGTTATTGTACTATAGCTGTTGTCACTTCTTTGAAGCATGAGTACATCAGAAATCGACATTAATTATGATCGTGAAACACCTATAGTACACGTCCTTCTTCCTTAAATGACAGAGGCTTCTTTGGTAAGTCGGACCGTAGTACTCGACAATATTGAAAGAACAACAAAAAAAAGTTAACATCCTGTCCAGATTTTGATGTCTTGCAGCATTTTCTTGAAGCACTAATTAATGAAAGGATCTTAGTAAGAGCAGTCCAAATCATATAAAAGCAAACTCACCAGTGTCGGTCCTAAGGCGAGACTGATGAGGCATGCGCTTCATGCCGAGGGGGCCTCATTTTTTTCCCAATTTTTTTTTTAATTACATGAAGAAAATGGAAATTCTATTTTTCATTCCTTTCCTCCGTCTTCGCTTGACAACACGAGGCCTGCGACTGCTCCGCCTCCAAGTCCAACCGAACGGGGCCATGCAAACAGGAACAAAAATATTGTTGAAGACACCCCTATTCCCGTTAACTGACTAACCCTGCTCATAAATGGTCAATGGCTTCAGTCGGGGAGCAAAAAAAGGTAATAGATTCAACAAATGAAGGACGCTCAAAAGTGTTAGAATTTGGGTAACCCGAATTTCTTGTTGAAATAATTGTAGAGTTCTAATTGAAGTGCATATCAAAAGGAATTCTAATTGGAATGCTATTGAAGAATTATATTCAAGTTTAATTGACAAGTTCTAGTTAAAGTTCTATTTGAAAGCTTATTGGGAGTTGAAATTTGTGGTAAACTTGATGAGATCAAATAAGGAATCTTTTGGCATTTTATTCCATCTACAACTCTATTTATAGGGATGGATTTTTCCCTATAAATACTAAAATCCTTTTCTAGATTTGTGAAGCTTTATTACTGTAATTGTACTCTTTTCATATTGTTATTCAATAAAACATCGGTTCCTGTGCTTAACTTTATTTTTTTTCTTTACTTTAATCTTGTTCTATTGATTGTGATCATATATATTTCATGTTACACCATTAAATCTCAATTCTTGCATCACCTTGCGCTCCAACAAGGTGATTTCAGAGCTGTTCCGTCTTCAACAAGTGGTATCAAAGCTAGGCTGTCGGTTCTTCGTGATTTGATTGAGATTTTTTCAAAGAAGGTTAATTTGGATGCTAGATTGCAATACGAGATTTTCGCCGTGGTAAGTAAAGATGAGGGCTATTTTTGCGTAGATAGATTTAGAAGATGTGTTGTTGGATTTTGATAAGATGCTAATTGATTGAACAACGGAGGAGAAATAATGGAAAGATAGGAAGACTCTATTGCAGATTCATCTTCATCTTTCTAATAACATTCTGCATGACTTCTTGAAGGAGAAGATAGCGACGGTTTTGTGGTTAAAACTGAAGAAGTTGTGCATGACAAAAAGTCTTCAGAGCAAACTGCATCTTAAGCAAAGACTATATTCCCATCGCATGACAGAAGAAGGATCGTTGGACGACAACTTTGCAGTGTTCAAAAAAATCATTGTAGATTTAGAGACATTGGAGGTCAAGTATGATGAGGAAGATCTGGCCTTGATCTTGTTGTATTCGCTGCCAGTCACTTATTCGTCATTTCTGGACATGATCTTGTATAGTCGTGACACTGGTATCTCATGGTGGTAAACGCTTACCATTGAAGATGCTTACGATGCTTTATATTCAAAAGAGGAGATGAAGCATCTGGTTGGAACTGCATTTAGGAATGAGGAAGCACGGGTATCTCATGGTGGTCAAATGCGGAGAGGCAGATTGAAGATGAACTACAACAATTTGTATTGCTTCTACTGTAGAAGGAAATGACATGTTCAGAAAGATTGCGATAAATTGCAGACTCAAGATGATTTAGCTGCAAATCATAAGATGCAATCATTGACTTTGGATGAGACCAATGTAGTTAAGGATTTTTCAAATGGCAGTGATGTGATGTAGATCGTAGCATCTGACGTGGAGTTTAAGCCTGATAAAGAGTAGATTCTTGATTCAGCATGTTCGCATCATATGTGTTCCAATCGTGACTTATTTCAGACATATGAGACGGTTAAATAAGGTGGAGTTATCATGGGAAACGACCAACTTTTGTTGGGTTGCTGGAATCGGTCGAGTCAGATTGAGGTTGTAGTATGGGGCGATCAGAACACTTGGCCGGGTTCGACATGTTTCAGATTTAAAGAGGAATCTCATCTCACTAAGAACCCTGAATTCAAAAGAATATAAATTCTCTGGTAGAGATAGAATCTTGAAAGTTCAAAGGGATGTTCAGATTGTACTGGAGGGACGAAAGATGTCTCAGTTGTACATCTAGCAGGGAGCGCAGAGCTAGATAAGAGATATCTAGACAAGTTCAATACCGTGGTGAAAATTTAATTTAATACAGTACCTCTTGTGACGGGCGCTGGTCCAACTAGGTGGTTCCATAGCTATTCTGCCTCCAACAAAAGGTCCTATGCAATTGGGTTCAGAATTGATTTTTTTTAGTCCAGAGATGCTTCCAAAAAATGGAGGTTGTCAACATTAAGAGTGATAATACACTTATCCCCGTAAGATTTATCATTTATGCATTCAATTTTTGAGTTCAGTTAGTGGATATATGCCTTCAAAATAATATACATCATTGTTACATGTACAATATTAGGATATGATATACATGCTAAAATTATTGATACATACAGTACAATTGAAATATCATGCATTGTCACAATAGATAGAATTTGTTGCCACAATAGAAATATATCAATCGAAACACTTTGCATTTGGTGAGCATTTTTCTTGTGGCTTATATAATTGCGGCCTGGTAGGCTTATAAGATTGGTTATTGTAGGATCAATTGCACGGTCGTGCGTAAAAAACTATATTAAAAACTTTAATTGTGAGATGATTGAGATACTTTGTAATTGTGTATCAAGTTAAGTTTTAAGTTAGCAATATGTTGTATAACACACCGTTGAATTTTGCATTTACATTGATTTTGGAGATCTAATTTACGGAGTTCGCCTCGGGCCCCATAAATAATTGGACCTGCCCTGAAAGTCACAAACAGTAAACTTTGAAGAGACAAATGTTATTAATTCGAATCTCGACTAGAAAGTGGAAGAAGTACACCTCGCGTATTAGAAATACTACTGTAAACTTAGCTAAGATTTCGATATTTTTGATGACAACAGGAGATGAACACTCTTCATTTGAAAAGTAGAACTCTCCAGAGTTTATTAAGGCAAAACCACTCATGCTTAATAACAAATAATATATATATATATATATATATAATAGAAAATTATTTAGTCATAAACATGAGGAATGGCAATAAGGTACTTTTCACAAGCCTTAAAGAGTCCCAAAGCTTGTTCTTTGCTTGCTTCAATATCCTCCGCTTTGAGTTCAAAATCATCCTTGGTATGATAGCCACTGGTTTGCTTGACAACACATTCTCCAAACTTGAAGTGCTCGAATTTCACTCGTAAACAATTGACTCGAGTTTGTCTCCGAGTAATTCTTCTTCAATCAAGGTATAGTTGCTTACATAGTTCACAAGGTTGACTACGTTGATCATGTGCTTCACGTATTTGACGTGAGCACCTGCGAAATAAGATGGAAGCTGTGTCAGATTTTAATGTAAAGACATCAAAACATTCGGTATGTTTAGTATACTAACTCAGATAAAATTAAATAGGATTAGTGTATAAAAAAGATTGCATATGTGTGTGTTTTTTGGGATTTTGTCAAACATTAATTTTAGCTAAACATTTTGTAGGGCACACAGATTTTACCCATTTATCCGCCACTCATTTCATTCAACTTACAATTTTAGCTATACATTATAGATACTTCCAACACCACCATCTCCTTCAACAAGCTCAACGCTCTTGATGAACGGGGTGACTTTCAGCAAAACATTAGAGGTTTTGATGAGTCTTGAAAATCCTATGGGGAGCAACCTTAGTTTTCAGTTTTTGGAAAAAGTTGAAGACACCCATGTTTGCCTATATTGTATGACCTAGGAACACTCCAAGAATATCAAGTGAATTTCAATTGAGTCTTAGTGCTGTGTCATCTAAATATTGCTACATTTTAGCTCGCCATGATAGACTTTCTATTGTGAAAATATCTACCGTGATATGAGAACAAATATATATGGTACTATATGAAGTAGATATCACAGATGCACAAGAACAAAAGATAAATGGCTTAAAATATTCAGAAAGAATACAAAGATATTGTATTTACAATATTGTCCAACTTGTCTAAATCACAATAAAGAGCTAACTATATATAGAGAACGTTTCAAACCCTAGAAATAGAGTCATAGATGGATAGGAATACTGAAAATGTGTCAAAAAGGCGAAATGGGCTTAGTCCGAACAACATTGTTAGCTCGAGTGCTAGACGGGCACCCTATAGCTTGAGCGGCAAGTTGGAGCTAAGCAAGCGTCAGCCTTTCTGCTTTGAGCGCTCCAGCAGGAACTAGGCACTTAAAGAGCAAGAATTTGTTGAAAATTTCTCCCTAATCCATATCTTGATCTCTTTAAGTCTAACACAAATTTTAAACTCTTAACTAAACTCCCAAATTGAATATCAACTAGAATTGCCAGATAGACTCTAAATATGATTCCCAAATAGCATTCTAAATAGAATTCGAGTCACGCCTTAATTCTAACAAACTCCACCTAGACACGATTTCATTGCAATGAACAAAACTTCGAAGAAATTCTACATAGAGACAAACTCCAGTGCAAAGAATAAGACTTAACTATTCAACAAAAACATCAAACAAAATTCTCCATCAAAATTTCCAACTAGAAAAACTCTCCACTTTAATCACAAAACTTAACTAGGAAAAACTCAATAATTAAATATCAACTGAATTTCAAACACTACTCAACAGA